AACGCTATCTTTCATATTTGTGGCCGGATTTTTACGATTTTAACAGAAGTTGCATCTTACAAATGGGAAATGAATGCAAGTGGAAATGCGCTTTATGTAAATCGTTTACGATTACTTTTTAACTTGTTTAAATGGTAGTCATAGTTGGCTTTGACATTTTTCAAAAGGATAAATTTTTCTCTTTATAAGGATATAAGGCTTGCTTGTAATTTCCGTATTATTGAGAGGTAAGTAAACAGAGTTCGCAGAGTTCGCATTGGAAAACAATATCAGTGAGATAGGTACCTTTCATTTACGACGAAAATTGGGCAGGCCAATGTTATCTTCATTTTCTACCAAATGAATTTCAAGATATGTAGGATGGGTTAGATTTGGAAACACGTCGTAATTTACGCTGGTTTCAACACAACGGTGCTCCGCCGCACAACTAACTGCAAGTTAAATATTATAATAGACAGTAATTAAGAGAACAAAAATGTTTCCCATGGCAAAATCTGTTTTTACTACTCTTAATAATACAAATAGTTCTGTATCATGTTTATTTGTCAAAGTAAGTACAATGAACCTTATATCATTGTAAACAGAAAAAAATGCACTTTTTAAAAATGTCACAGTCAACTATGATTACTATTTAAAAAAATGCACTCGAAAATTATAAAAGAAGAATAAATATTAATAAATGTATCTTATTAAGTGGAAAAAAATCTACAATTTTTGTTCTTTGCATATTTCTGTATTTCTAATACTAACGATTTTACAACAATACAATGAAAAATCACTAAATCTGTTTTTCGTTCATATCTAGTAAACTGTGGATTTTTAAAAAAAAACAAAAGATAAGCTCTTAAAACTACAACTCTTTTCTCATTTAATCAAACCTCTATGTCTTACGGTTTTCGAGATCCTAATGCTTAAAATGAAAAAGAAAACTCACCCTGTATATAAAAATGGACAAAAATAATAAAATTAATATTAATTAAAAGAAATCAAAGAACACAATAATGCAACTATCTAAATTCTAAATAATCTTTGATTTTGATTTATATTCTGTATAATAAGAACCATTACAATATTGCTACAAAAACAATCTGTACGCTCACTACCCTTGCCTTCGTCGATGCAAAACTATCGATGGCACTATGACAGTGTTGAAGTGGGCCTTCCGACTTCCCCACCTCTTCCCGTTTTCCGCTTAGCGAAGCAAGACCCATGGAGGCTCAGAGAATCAATTACAATTTGCTGAACGATCATTCACAGCTAGTAATAGAAACCAGGGCTGTAGGTAGAGGGGACAAAGCTCGTTTTTGCAATTCACTTTTCCCCTCTTGAAAATTGTTTAATTTAACGCAATATAGCATGCTCATTGCTGATAAATGATCAAATAATAAGTGCAAATTGTTTTTTAATGCCCCTACGCCCCAATCGCTCTTCGTGAGTAAAATCTTCCGACACTGTTCTCGACATATTCGTACATAAAGTTTAGACCCTACCATTGGATATTTCTACCCAGATGTGTCAATAGCCGTTATTCCAATCTCGAGATATTCGCACTGCAAGCTTTTACATCACCAATGGGTATATTTCTACCATACGGCCCAATCGCCCTTTGTAGGTACCCTCTTCCGACAATCCGCTCTTATGTAAGGAATTATATCCGATTATGATAAGGGGTCGAAGAGGAGGACTAATGGTTAGTAGAAATTAATTCGTTTCGTTTCATTGAGACCAACCATGAAGGATAAAATCAGTTCCGCCTCCCAACTCACCCCCTATTTTGATAAGGGAGAACGAAGATGGTCGGTATAGTTGGTAAAAAACAGTTCCTTTTGTTGAGACCTTTAATTAGAATACCACGAAACCTAAAACCAACTTTTAAACCCCCCCTCCCCTCCCCAACCTAACTCCACCCACTGATCTCGAAAAGGAGTAGCGCAGCTGAATCACCATCAAGGGTAGAACGCGTGTCCCCACCCCCGTCCAGTATTACTTGGCACCACTAAAGGTGTATGCAAAATAAGAGACTAATTGCTTATCGCATGTGAAAGTTATGCAAGGTTTACCTTCAAAAACATCATCTCAGGAAGTAATTCATGGGGGAGCATCTGGCACACCTTCAAAGTATAGGCTACCTATTGCAAAAAATTCCAGTAGGTACTCTATCACCATTCCCCTAAAAGTAGTTCAACATGGCACACGTAGGTCCGGACGGACGGACAAAACACAACAATAGCACATTTTTTTATTCTTTAAAAAAGTGCGCTAAAAAAGGTGTTTGGTATTCGGAGTTAGTATTAATTATATTATTAGTATTAAATTATAATATTAGTATTAAAAATTAGTATTAAAATTAGACAATTTCACGTGTGCGTATAAATTATTTCCTCCGGATAGGGTGGCCAAGTTTGGTCGTTATTCGTTAGTAACTCAAACTATGATCGATGGAAAATTCGCAGCCTCCATGTTTTTGTTCCAAATAAATTCGGATGTTCAAAACTAAACTTGGCCTACAGTCTTTTGTTTTTTTTTTATTTTTAGATAAGAATCTTTTGTTTTTTAGTTTATTAAGTTATTGGAAATGCGTCGAGTACAAATGATTGTTGCATAATTTATTATATATTTTCAAAATAAGTATACGTGGTCAAGTAAAAAAAGCTATTGGACCTAACTTCATTTTCGTTTTAGTGTTGCTATGTAAGCCTCTGTTGTTCTCCATACTAAAACAAATACGGACATACACCTTTTATTATTAATATCATAATGCCAGAAACGAAAATGATCTAACTATTGTACTGGAAATATTAAGGTTCAGGTATTTCCAATAATCTACTGGTTGACCACGTTACGAAGATATACGAGATTCTCAAAATTTGCGTCTTCGGAGAAAAAAAATTGTAGTTTTTTTGTGTTTAGTATCTAACCATATTTTAGTTTGCTACTCTTCAGAAATTACTCCAAAATGTTAATGCGTTTTTTGCCTTGCTCACAAATTCATTAGTCTCCACCACGGTGGTCTCCACAAATCAGAATTAAAGTAAAGTAACATTACAGAAATAGATTTTGATCAACACTGAAATTGAGTCATAAGCAAATTATAAAAATACTTGGGTTGCGACTCTTCAAGGTTAATATGCGATAATTAATTATGTTTATAGTGACGTCCACATTACGACTTTATTTTATTGTCCTGGCTGTTTATGTCAATCCAAGCGCTCAACAAAATCGATTACACTAATTTGTATAGTTCACTTTCGGAGAAGTGATATGATTTGAATATAAATTATTAATTTGTATTCTGTTTAAATATGGACACCCACCTTTGTTTTGTAACACTGTTAAAACTGTATATTCTACTCCCTTGTAATTATCAGGCAATCTTAGAAATTAATTGATGTAATCTTGTTTCAGGTACGGAACTTCTCTTGCAGTTGCAGTAGAAAACAATCACGTGAGTAACCCTTTGCATTTCATGTAGAGTGTAGACCATGCTGTGTTTATTACTTCTTTATTATTGCACTTCGCGTAGATTAATTTATCCAATTGTGTTAAAAAAATACGTTTCTTAAACGTAAAGTTCCAAATGTTCCCAACCATTACGTTACATTAACGTCAAAAGGAACTTAAAAATAATATACTTATCTTCTGAACGACTTTTTAACGTAAACTTACACCGTTTAGAAATAGGTGTATACCGTATAAAAACAGTGACAAAACAGAGTTCTTTGTACGCCTGAAAATGGGGTACTTTTTGTTAACTGTTTGACAGGACACTGTTAAAGGTTGCATTTCTATTTCTATTTTATTCCATCCTATTTATGTTTCATGTATTTTATGAACTCTCATTGTATTGAGTCCAACTAAAGATGCCCATGGTTTAATTTGACAACGTACAGTTTATGTTTTGTTGAAGTAAGATCCTCTTATAGGTAGTTGGAGGTATCGTATCATTTATATCGGGCGTAATAAAAAAAGTCACTTATTTCTTCATGAAATCGAACGTTATATTTTGTCAAGTCGAATATGCACCTTCGGTTCATTTGAATATTTTTGCCTGCTCTCAAACATTTTTTGCCCCCCTTGCACGATTTAACGCTTAGCTACAGCCCTGCACAGATGCTTTGATCAAAGTCACCTTATATTTTTGTGTAACTTTTTATTGTAAATTGTATGGTTGTAGTAGTTATACTGCGTTCCCAACTCGCTACCTCCAGATGCAGTGTGGGGTCTTATGGACTAAGCGCCTCTAGAGCCGTCCGCTAGAGTGCTTCTGCTTTCTGACCGATTAATTTGATTTGATTAATTATATAATCGCAGTTATTGTGCTTTGTATTTCGGTAGCTACGCCTTCACCGAAGGTAAGTTTTGTCTTCAAAATAGTTTTCTTAACGTAATTGCGTCATTATTTGTTCAAGATATTTATCGTTAAAGCGTTTACTTTTGGTTTTACGTCGTCAATCGCTGCTGTGTAACTGAATTTTTACGTTCAACGTATAAACTGCTATCCGAAATTAGAGAAGATTTTCTATATTTCTTGTAAATCATCGTTAAGAAAAGAATTACGCACCGTGCAGATAAGAACTTGTGAATCATACTAAATGGCGACAAGAGCCTTTTCTGTACCTACCTGCATTGTTTCCGTTTGATTTCCTACAGCTGCACTTACTGTAAGAGTTAGAATTTTTATGATCTCTACTCGTAGATCTTCGGCATTCGCTACAAAGCAAAATGCTAATAATGATTCTAAATTCTCAGTGACCTTGATCAACTTCCGAAAATTCCAAAGAATCAATTACAAAAATTGATAGATGGGATAAATCTTGACCACAAATAGAAAAATCTGTACATGAGAATTCTCTCTGGGTCGTACAATAGATTCAAATAAACACACTATTATGACATCCTGAAACACATACGCAATACATGGCAGCGAACCTCGACAAGTAAAAGCAAATTGGCCACGGCTAGCCAGGGGAACCGGGTCTTCCAGTGAAACAACTACCGAGGTTTGACAAAGCTCATATAATTTTGGTTTCCAGGCGTGCACAAGTCACGCCAAAGAGGAAATAAAAATATAAACTAAAAATAAAAGCTTTGGGAATCATCAGGAACTAGTGGGTAAAATCGCCTTTGTCTTGGCAATAAACAATCACACTTAACTAAATGCAAATTTTCAGTACAACTGATTAGTGATTGCTGTGATTGCTTATAAAGTGTACTTAATCTAATCTCGATTAGAGACAGAAAGATAAACATTTTGTTTTGCAAAGCACGTAATATAACATCATTATCATTATTATTATGAAACAAATTCACTACCTGAAGTACCTTGCGTAAAGAGTAACAAGGGCAAAGATAAAGGAGAAGACACTTTAGTTACGTATAGATCCGCAACTTTTGTATTCAAGATATCAATTACAGAGCAACTCGCCACGGCATTGGCAAAGATAAACGGTAAGACAACCTAACGACAAAAGCAATTACCTACAGGTTACCTGAACGTTTTCAGTCTCCGGTATTTGAGATAAGCCACTCCTCTTTCGCGTAAAAACGCTTAGATAATTAATTTAAACAATTTTAGCGTGATTCTGGAATTTTCCAATATATCAACATGTTTCGCAAAAATTAGAATCTGTAACAGAACGTTACAACATCGTCAATAAAAACCTGAAATAAAGGGGGGCACAAGCCCAATTTTACATTTACCCCACACGCAGGTGGTTGACACAAATAAGCAGAGGAAGTCTTAAAATGACTTACAGTTTTCTCTTAACAATCCATTTAATCTGGTCCTAACAACGGTCTTGCGATATTCACTAATATAAAAACACTCGTTGACAGCATCAGGAAACGTCATTTGTTTTTCTATTACACGGAACTCGATCACTCGAGCTGGTTTGTTGAATTAAAGGATGCAATTTCTTTCTTATGGATATTCAGACGGGAAAAAAACACGTCAAACTTTTGTGGATAAGATAACGTTCTAAAACTGCTTTTCCAAAATCAATTTAACTGCATCTGCAACTGCACAGATTATTCTGTATGCGACGACACTGCGTTTTCAAATATCCAAAAAGGCCAATTACTAAATTAGCCAAAGGCGTAAACGCTCATTTCCCACCGCGAGGGGAACAGCGTACGACGAGACAGCTGGTTTGGGCTAACAAGCTCCGTTTTGTCTCTTTAATTTCGTATTTATCAGAACACCACTTCTACTTTTATAAATGTATAAGGAACGCTTGAGATGTTCTCTCTTTCATAACAAAATCACACTCAAAAGAAATCGCGCACCTGCATCCTTTGTTATCAACACACGTGCATCTTGAAATCAATTATCTTTCGCGATACCAACGCTCTTATCGCACACGACCAGATAACACTTAAATGCACTCGACTGGATGTTCCTTAATTTTAAACAACGCAAGCTTCACGTCTTACAATTTAAATAAGCAAATTCACACGAATGATTAAATTTACACAAGAAATTGTGCAATCAAAATAATTCTAAAATGGAAAAATAGACCAGTGGCGCACCCAGAAAAAAATTCGGTGGGGGTTATTGAAATTAGTAAATCCAAAATGTTAACATAAATTATATTTTTAATAAACAAAAGATTATACAGTTACACTTACACTTTGTCCGAAAAAAACAAAACAGAACATAAAAGAAATTATTTATGACTAAAAATATTAAGTTAAACTAAGTTTTAATTTTCCAGTTTTCTGTGCGAATTTCTTTAAAATATTTTCCACAGAAGGGGTCATGTTTCTATAAATGTTTAGAAGAGTTAAGCCATTAATGCTCGTTTGCACCGACAAATTTAAGCGGAGCTTAGCATCCATGGCAACCATTGTCTCAATAATCGTTGCCATGGATTTTAAGCTACACTTAAGCTAAGCTCCGCTTAAATTTGTCGGTGCAAACGGGCATTAGTCAGTTTTCGGAAGAACTATTTCTTAAATAATTTTTGAGTCTTCTCAAAGTTGAAAAACTACGTTCGCCTTCCGCAGTAGAGACAGGCAATGTAGGTAATATAGCAAGTAATACCCTAATACTGTGCGATCAAAAATGAGTTGCTGTCGAGTCACCTTTGGAACTTTTGTTTGCATGGGAAATCGTGTTTAACTTGAACTTCCAAAGCCGACTCGACAGCAACTCATTTTTGATCGCCTGTTATTTGTAAAGGTGTCTGTAACGTGTTGTAAAGCACTTAAAGCATCTCTGAGTCGATCTTCATTTGGCAATCTGGCGATTGCTCTATACCAAAGTCTAAGTTCGGCAACTAGCTCATCTATAGTTCCTGTCAAATCATCTTTATAAAATTATACTAAAGACTGGAATTCAGTTTAGGTTTCCTCGGAGAGAATGGTCGGATCTTTGGGAAATAGGCTTTGAAATCCGGTCAATATTTGTTTGTGTTTTAAAAACCTTTCCTTTAGGTTACTTATAAAAGAATCCAAAAATGGAATATATATTGCAATCCGGTAATAAGTTTCGGTACTTTCCGTATTAACGTTACACCTTTTTGTTTGATTTAGGCTAGTTCGTGGTTTATTTATATCAAAATCTATCAGTGCTTAATTTCGGGGGGGGGGGGGGTAACCCCGAAAACCCTCCCTATGGGTGTGCCACTGAAATAGACACGAAAATAACAAATTGCGATGAAACATACCAACTCTGCTTATTCATAATAAAACCCTCTAGATTTAAATTAAATTAAAACATTTGCATATACAGGGTGGCCCGTTGTTATCTTCGATATTGTCACACTAAACAACGGCCACCTGACATAGTTTACACAATATATTAAAAAATTAGACTTTTTTTGTAATTTGTAAATAAAAATTATAATGCATTCGTACTTTTTTCCCCAATTGTACTTATGGGATAACTTTACTTTTAGCGCTCCCATGGTTTGTCAACAGTAACAGGTTACAAACAATTGCGTACAGTTTTTATTATAGAATTTAGACTAAAAGTCACGGTAAGCTTATTGATTGTGAATAAAAACTGATGTCAGTCAGATTAATATAATGCACGTACATAAAAATTGTTTTGATATGACGTAAAACTCGGTCACCGAAATTGTTTCTAAACACATATGGTCTTTGTATATTTTTAAACGAAGTGTAAAGCGAAAAGGCATACTGGCTCCATATGCGAGACCTGGATTCCCTTAATCCACATAGGGCAATGGTATATAAGACTGAAATTTCCACACCAAACTTCGCTATAAAGTTAATCTCCATCAATGATTGAGGTAACATATTTGTCTTTATCCAAAATTTGTGAATGCATTCCAAATTAATATCATTGGTTAACCACAAAGGAGGGCGCATATTTTATGCACATATAACGATGCGATGGGCCAACGTGAAATATTTTAAATGCTCGCGAAAGCACTAATTAGACCGTTGACAAATATAAATACAATTTTTCCGTAATTAAGTGTTTAATCTTTTAAATATAAAAATTCCATCTATGACCTAAC